GCATTTCGGTAGTAGCAAAGTCTTTTTTATTTCATGATTATAGATTTTGGTCAAAATTATATTGCTGTGAGCTGTCATTGTCTCCTGCTCCTTGAGGATATTTTTATGAGGGAAAGAATAGCAGCTGATGTGCAGGAGAATTTTAGAGCCATCACATCTCTGTCTTGAAGGCGTCCCTGGTTGGCGCTACCCAAGTCTAAGCCCCGTGTGTTCGGCTGGGAGGAAACTTACACTGGAGCGTGCATTCCTGTGAAGGCGAAAGGCTTTAACTGAGGCCATCGCTTTCCGCATAACTCTACAATTACGTCCTGCCTACAATTTCAGACATTAAAGTCATTTTTTCTTTTATGAAGTGATGGTGGTAATTGATGGTAATGTGTTTGTTTACTTCAAATCTGAAATAGGCAAAATAAAAGTTTGTGACCTGCATTTGGGAAGGCTGTATCAGGGTTTGTGTTGGGAATGTGCTTTTCCATCGGCTGTGCCCGTCTGTACATTCTACCTCAATTGACTTTTCCCACTGGGGGTTTGAACACTCGGAAAATAGGATCGTCCTCTGGGCGAGGAGTCAGACTCACTGCCTCCTGGGACTGACGCCGTGATGGCTGGTGTTTAAAGCTCTCTCTAGTTCCTGTGACTCTTTGGGAAAGTGACTTAGCATCTCTGAGCCTCATTATATGTGGGAAGATGGCTGAACGCTCTGCTTCCCAGGTCAGCCGAGGGTATCAGGGGCTGTGGAGCAGATGCACAGGAAGGGTCTTTACCGTCTGCAGTTATACCTTGGATTTCCATAAGGCCTCACAGCCGGAACTCCTGGGCCATATGTGAAGGTGTATCTTGTGGAGCTCATCCTATGGCTACCTGGCTTTACCGTGATGTAAATAGCGTTTCTCCTTTGTTGTGGTTCAGATATGAAGTGCCACCCCCCTGACCATTGGTGTCCAGATGGAGGGTCCAATCACGAAGAAGTGATGGGTTTATAATTTGATGTTGTTACTGGGAGATGGCAGAAATTACTGGAGTCATAGTCTTGGAGGTTATATCTTGTCCCTAGCTCCTTACCCTGCCCCTCCCTCTGCTTCCTGGCCACCTTGAGGTAAGCAGTTTTGCATCTTCATGGCTTTCTGCCATGATGGTCTGCCTCAGTACATCACAGACATACCCGAGTCCCAGTAAACCCTTGTACCTTTCCATTGTTTCTCTGTGACATTTGGTCTCACCGATAAAAAGCTAACTAACTGGTGGTGGTTGCCAGGACCTCTGGGTAGCAGCTCTGGGACTTGTGTGTTCCTTGGACTCCCTGCTCCTTGGTAGCTTTCTCACAGTCCTGTATTTGTTTGCTTTTGGACAGCCGGCCTGGAAGTCCATGATCACTTGTTTTATTTAGAACCTGGTGGGGTGGGAAGAAACGGGGGAGCACTTGAGTGTGGGGACAGTATCGGGGCTTGACCTGGGGAGCAGGGGGCCTGGGCCATTCCTCCCAGTTTGCCTTGCAGTCATGGCCAGGACTGGAGCCCAGTCCTCTGTTCTGTTGGTTGATAGACGGAGTCCCTCTGGGTCTGTTATTCTAGGTGTCTCGGCTGCTGCCTTTTTGTCTCCTGGTTTCCTTTGTCCATGTCTCTTTGCATTTCTGCCTGTCACTGCTCACTGATCACAGGGACATTTTCAGATGCTTCCCCTGTGCCTGAGCGAGCCCTCCTGTGGATGTGGGTCCCGAGAGACTGAAGCTCACTGCTCTGTTCTTCCCTTCAGAGAGAAAAGCCTCACAAATCTGAATTTCAAACCTGGGCTCCTTCTAGACAGCGCCCCCACCGTCTTCACCTCCACCTTGACAAATGGGCCCCCAGGACAGCACACTGCCTCCAGCAGAAAGAACTCAGGCTCACCTTCTTTTCTTGGCCACCATCCCCAATTTATAGGAATCCCAGGCTTTTCTTGCTAACCTGCCTCAGCTTCCTCCACTGACCTCCATGCCTCTGGTGTCCGCCATTCTTGTCCTTATGAGTGGCAGGGAGGTCTTTGCAGGAAATACTTTCCGGGCCTGCTTGCCTCACTCGCTCACTGCCCAGCGCTCCCTGACTCCACTCACCTTGCCCTTCCATCAGTGTTGGATGTTAATCACGTGTATCCTTTCTAGAAACAATCTGCTGCATGCACTTCTCATAGGATAGTGGGGAGGTCTGCGATCCCGCTCACCCCGGCATCCCAGTGGAGGGACAGAGGATGGCAGGAAAGACACAGGTCCCAGGGGACCCCCTCATTTCCTGCTTCATGACTGCAGACACGGGATGGCATGCTCTGTGGAGGGAACTGTTCTGTTCTTGTGAGCTTTCTACATTGTCTACGGGATGGAAGTCTGCTGCCTCGCCTCACATCCCACATGGGTGTCATGGGGGGATATGAGACCTACTCCCCACAGGCCTCCCCTGTCACCCTGGCTCAGCAGGTGCTTCATGTGCTGGGAATGGCCCAGGCTTTCCTCTCTGATACCCATTAGACCTGGAGCTTGGAAGGACTGAAACCATGATTTCAGGATCACTATGTGAAAATAATGATGGCCGGGAGCAGATAGGTTTCTAAGGAAGGCAGTCATTCTGCTCTCTCCACTCCACCAACCACAGAACTTCACTGTGCCTGACCAATGTGAATCTAAGGTTTCTCCTTTCCTGAAGTGTTTTTTTTTTCCCCCAGTTGCCCTAGGAACCTGGGGAAGTCCTCTGTCAGTTCTGTCACACAGGTATTCTCTGAAGGACCAACTTCATTACCACTCATCATTCAGATTGTGCATAGGTCAGGGACATGGAAGGATGCCTGAAGTTCCCTCTTCATGGAAAAAGTTTACCTCCTGTGGCCCTCAGGGTTAGGCCTGGCCCACATGGCATAAAAGAATTTGAGACATGCTGGCTACCAGCTAGCTTTCCCAAGGGCCAGTGCCGGCGTCAGCTACATCTGTCCCAGGTGTCCCAGCGGGGGTGGGGTGGGGGGGTGGGGTGTGCTCAATGGGAATCTAACTCCCTCTAGTTCCTAGACCAGAACCTGGCAGTGGCCAATACTAGGCTCCAGTTTTCTGGTCCCAGACTGATTCTGTATCTTCATCCTTACCCCAGCCTCTCTGTTAGAGCCAGATATATCTAGGGGCCGAGTCCAGATTCCAGCCCCTGGCTCTGGTCTGAGGATAGATCCTCAACTCAGATGGAGGTGATGAGAGCATCTCGGCATCACCCTCCCCACTGGACAAGGTTGATGTCATGCCCCATTGCCTAGGCTCAAAAACCAGAGAACAGTCTCCTTCCCTACAAACCCTCAGATCATAGTCTACCTGGGATGACCCCCAGGCACAGTGTACAAAGCCCCTTGCCCACAGCTGGCCTCCCCTCCTCCGCCTGGTAACTGGTATCTTTTCCTGGCCTGTGTGGGCAGCTTGCTGAGCACAGCTGCAGACAGGCTATATTTAGCCAGCTTTAATGAGCTCAGGGTGGCAGACGTCCGCCTTGGGAGCAGTTTTTCTTGCATGTGTGCGTATGTTTGGGCCTGGCATGCTTCCTTCCTTTGTGCGCGTGCACAAATGGAGTGTCCCCTCACCTGTGGCTGTGCACTAATGTGTGGCAGTGGACTGGTGTGCTCATTTACCTGGGGCTAGTGTGTGCGGTGTGCACAGAATCTCTTGTGTTGGGGTTGTGTACAGTTCTGATGCTTGTGGTGCAGAATGGGAACAAATCATTAGTCCATTCGCTTGTTTGTTGAAAATATTTAATGAACACCTTTATTAGTCAGGGCCTTGATAGTCTCTGGGGATAAAGCAGAGCAGAGCCAAATGAACACAGTCTATCTTTTAAAGGTTTTATAGCCTAGGAGCTGGAGGAAAAGTCCTCAAATAACTATAAAATTGTAATTGTGGGCTGAAGAGATAGATGGCTCAGCAGATAATGGTGCTTGCTGCCAAGGCTGCCAATCTAAATTTTTCCCTGGAACCAGCATGGTAGAAGAGAATCAATTCCCACAAGTTGTCTTCTGTTGTCCACATGCGTGCCATGGCACATGAGTACTGATATTTGCCTGCTTGTGCATGCTCATGCAATGCACACACACACACACACACACACACACACACACACACACACACAGAGAGTTAAAAGGATTTCTGGGCTAGATAGTTGACTTAGCAGTTAAGAGGACTGGCTGTTCTTCCAGAGGACCCAGGTTCACCCTCATAGTATCTCCCACATAGAAGCTCACAACCATCTTTAACTTCAGTTCCAGGGAATCCAACATCCTCTTCTGGCCTCCATGAGCACCAGGCATTCATGCAGTGGTGCACAGATACACATGCAGGCAGAATACCTATACTCATAATATAAAAAAGTTAAAGACAATTGTAAATACTTGTCCCAGGAAAGAGATCTATGTTGCTTTGTGAGGGGAAAGGTACACCCCCTCTCTAGGAGGAAGGAATATGGATTCTTCTATAAGAAATTGGGACACATGAGCAGCATTCAAAAGTCCAGACATAAGAAGTAGAGGTTCAAGGGCCCTGTGGTGAGAGGGAAGAGTGGGTGAAAGGGAGAAATGGCTGAGTTTGGAGGGAACGAGGGACCAGAGGTAGAGGTAGGCCGAGGGGGGGCGGGGGGGGGGGGAGGCGCGGGCGGGGAGGCGAGGCAGACTATGGTTGACAAAGAAGTATGGAGCAAGGGGAAAGGTGAGACTAGAGGGTATGGTGATCCAAAGCCCTAGGCTGTAGCCTAGGTCTCAGGCAGAGATCCCGCAGAGGGAAGGCTCATAAACCACATGGCAGGAGGAGAGCCTTGCAGAGGGATGCAATTCATGGATGACTCAGTTGGCATCCATGGGGGCAGCTTCCCGGAGAGTGCCTGACAAAGGGAGCATGCCTCTTCTCAGTTCTCCTATAGCTGTTCCTATGGCTCAACCTTACCAGAAGCCATGGAGCCTCCACTTTAGGGGCAGGTCTTAGAATGTGTGGTTGGTGGGGGTGGGGGGTGGGCACTGGAGGCCACTCAGTGTAGACCACGGACTTGATGTCAAGGAACTGCAAAAGTCTTAGGGAAATTAGGAAAGGAGATGCCTATGCACTCTCCAGAGGGATCCTTCATCTGCTCAACAAGGTGGGACCCAAGGCCAAAGCCACACTGGCTTTCTGAGAAACAGAGGACAGTGCAGTTCCTTGCAGCCCTGTGCCCACATTGGAGGGTACAGGGACTTTTAATCCAGTCCGTAGTCACCTATTTGTCTTCATCTGTAGCTCCTGGTGGATTCCTGGGTCTCTAGGTGGCCAGGCGTTTGAGCTCCTCTCCCTCATGGGACTGTGAAGGGCCCAGCCCAGGTCTTTGTCCTCCCCTCAACTGGCATGGTGGAGCGGGAACCTTTTATTTTTAACTTGAAGGAATCTCTTGTGTCTTCAAATCCGCTTTTCCTGGTAACAAAGAGAAAACAAGAGCTGGGGAGCTTTGCCACAAACCTCGAGGCAAAGGAGTTGGAACAAGCAGAATATAAAGTCAAATCTCAGAAAGGGAAAAAAAAAAATCACCTTGTTACATGCACTTTGAAAATATTCTTAGTTTTGATCTGTTTTTTTGAGTAGGCCGTGCGTGAACAAGGTAAAAGCTCAAAAGGCATGAAGGATGACACATGCCCCTCCCTCTCTCCCTCTCTGTGCCCAGCTCAGCTCACCACCCAGCCCTTCTTCCCAGAAGTGGAGAGGATGACAAGTATTTCATGTCCCACTCCAGACTCTGAAAACATGAACATAGCCATAAATATTCACTTCCATATATATTTTTATATGTACCCCACACAGATGGGAGTGCGCTGTGTGCTCCGTTTCCCTCCTTCCCTTCTGTGGATAATATACCGCGATTCTCCTTCTCTCTCAGAAGATCTACAATGTTCAGGTTCATTGGTCTTGGCCTTGAGTGTGTGCTGGATCTCTATGAAGCATTTTATTTAGCTTGTCCCCTATAGGTCGCCTCTTATCATCTTCAGTATTGTAAACAACATAGCAGTGGTTAATGGGGGTACATGTAACATGTTCATCACAAGGACTTGGCATTGCTGGGTCGCCAGTGTTTTGTGTTTTGAATGACATTGCCAGATGGCCCTCCAGAGATGTCGTATTGACTTGTATTCTCACCAAAAAACCTGAAGAAAACCTGTTTTCTCACAGGGCGTTGACAGTGGCTGATCTCAAAACAAAGGCAAGGAATTGTGGGTTATTTTAGTAAACTTTAAGGTTCTCAGCACCTTTTTGTGTGTGAGAGTCATTTTCTGTCCCTTGGCTGGGAGCCACTGTGTTTGCAAGGGATGCCTAAGCAGGGTGGAGGTGGAGAGGTGGGAGGGTGAGGGATGGAGGGGTGGGGTGTGTATGTCCGTACTGGAGGAGGTTTTTACGTTCCGTTGTGAAAGTGTGTACTTCCAGGCAGGCAAGCCCAGGCCTGATTAGACAGGAAATCCTACAGAGTCAGGCCCCACTGCCCCAGCAAGCTCCTGTACCCCATAATAAGGCCCGCCTGCTTGCCCTCCTATCCCTGGCTCTTGTGAGGGAGCCAGGTGCAGGAAGCATTTGGGGACTGAAGAGATCACCCCTTTCCTATTCAACTTAGGAAGAAGTCTGACCCGTGACCTGAGTTCAGATCCTCTCAGGTGTTATCGGTTAGCTTTTCCCACATTGTGACAAAAATATCTGTTAGGAACCTAAAGGAGAGGTCGGGATTCTTTTGACTCAGAGCTTAAGTTCATCATGTGGGGAAGACCTGTGCATGAGTCTGTGGTGGAGTAGATACAGGGAACAGGGAGGGCTATGACCTTCAAAGACTTGCTCTTTAGAAGCCCGTGTCTGCCACCTAGACGCCATGTCCACAACCTCCCCAGAACAATACCAAACTTAGGCCCACGAGGGATGTTCTACACTAAGACCGTTCACTTCCATCCAGAGAAGAGTCCCTTAGTCCTTCTGAGTCTTGGTTTTCTCTGTGAGATGTTTAGGCTATCCTGGCTTCTCAGGAGAACATGAAGACTGCCTGAGATATGGGGTGAGGACTGCACACTGAACACCCAGATGAAGGGACCTGTGTTCAGTACAGAGGGCTCAGTGGGGACGCCAGGGTTGGGAGATGTGACACCCTCCTGGCCAACTCACCTGGCCTGATTCAAGATGGTGGCTTTCTAGCCCTGAAGTGGGTTCCCTTAGCTGAGTTACTTCTCCAAGATGTTCCCATGCCCAGTAGGATGTTCTGAATAGGTAAGGTCTAAGGCCCAGACCCTAGCAAGGGTCAAGTGTCAAGGGGCACGGGGCAAGCTTTCTTCTGGCTAGTACCTCTTTAAAGACACCAGTTTACTGCACACACCTCTGCCTGTTAATTAGGCAGAGCCGGGTGGATATGACTGGATTTTGACCTTGAGAGGGTTAAGAAGGCACGTGAGGGAATCTCATTTTCTAGATCCCACTAACCCTAGGTGGAAATTTCATCCCAGCATCCCTACCAAGTGTATATTGCATAACTTGCTTGCATAACATCAGTAAAAGAGAATTCCCTGCCTGCAGGCCAGAACAGGCCACTGTAGGCAGCTGCAAATGCTTCCAAAGTATGCTCAACTGTGACATGTTGTTGTCCTGTGCTCTACTTCCCAGGTTCAAGCGTGGCTCAGCATGCATCTCTAACTGGGTCTGCAGGGCAGATCTGTGGTGTGGGTCTTCACTGTGAATCTGTGGTGGACAACTACAGTGTGTTTTTACTAGGTGATCTGTAGTATGGGCCTGTGGTATGGATTTTCAGTGTGTATCCACAGAATCAGTAGGTCTACAGCCTGGGCATGTGGTGTGGATCTGCAGGTTCACTTGGTTGACTCTTCTCTAGGCTGGTCCTAAACTTTCTACAGTGTTCCTGCCAAATTATCAGGCTCCAGATATGCCCCCAAAGTGGCCTGAAGTCCTCACTTTGAATTGCAATTCTGGTTTGGGCAGTCTCATTTTGCAGCTCTGGATGATGTAAGTAGATTTGGTCATATGATCTAGATAAGTTTTAGGCATGTGACTTTGATTTGGTCATATAACTTGACTTTGTTCATGTGATCTTCCAAACTTGAGATCCTTGTATCCTGGTGCTGGATTTTCTGGGTGTTTTCAGCTCGGACCCGAGTTGGGTGATAGATAGGGAGCAGAGCAGAAATCAGAAAGAAATACTGAGTTATGTGTTAAAACCAAATACAAGATGTAAGTTTGTGACCCGCTTGTAATTGTTCTTAGTGTAAAGATGACAACACATGCTTGTGGTGTCCACTTAATGTACATCTTCATAAATACTTTGAGACTAAAATAAACACGAGCCAACTAAAGAAATAGTAGAACATAAGGAAAGGTGGAGAATAGGGGAAACCAACCTTGGTCCCAGTGGGACAAAAATTTACAACATTTTGATGATTTCCTTCGACAACAAGGCTCAAGAGCCCTGTTCCACCCCTTCAACCTACCTAGAATGTTGTTTCCCAAGGTTGGATGCTGGGGCATCTTCAGGGGAGGATGACTTGGTGTCTGATTGATAATTGAAGCCAGGATCTTTCAAGTCCAGCCCCGGGGAGCCTTTGGGGACTGCCTAGCAGCAAGGCTGGGCGAGAGTCAGGAAGTAGGCCTGTGTTAGTCAACTTTCTGCTTTTTTTTTTTCCTAAACACTTGATACAATTAACTTTAAAGAAAGATAGATTGAACCCTCAATGGAATTCAACTGGCTCACTTTCATTTTTTCAAGTAGCCCCCAGGGAAAAGTTCATTGATAGGAAATTTCTCGGTTTTATAAGAGCCTAGGAACTTTCTGGAAAAGGCCTGTTTTTTTTGTTTTTTGTTTTTTGTTTTTTTTTGTTTTTGTCTGCTTCTTGCCATCCTGTCTGAATTCTGCTATTGAAGATCAATCCCTACCTATTATTTTGGCTCAGAGTTTCAGAGGTGTCAGTCAATGGTGGCTTGGAGTCTGGGTGACACAATATACCTTGCTGAGAACATATAGTGGAGTAGTGTGGGATAATTGCCTGTATTCTGTCAATCATGTTTTAAATAAATGCTGATTGGCCAGGCAGGAAGTATAGGTGGGAAAACCAGACAGGAAGTAGAGGTGGAGCAAAGAGAACAGGAGTATTCTGGGAAGCAGGAAGTTCCTTCCGCCATTCCTGCCCAGATCACCGAAAAAGCAAGATGTGACCTGCCCCACTGAGAAAGGTACCAAGCCATGTGGCTAACATAGATAAGGATAATGGGTTAATATAAGCTACAAGAGCTAATAAAAAGCCTGAGCTAATGGGCCAATCAGTTTATAATCCTATAGAGACCTCTGTGTGATTTTCTTTGGGGCATGCCGGTTGTAGGGTACTGGGTGGGACAGAAACCCCAATAAACCAGCTCTACATGTCACAGTGGAGGAAGTTGTTCACCTCCTGCTGTCCAGGAAGCAAAAGAAAAGACAGGAAGGGCCTGGGGGCCCTAGAGACACTTCAAGTCTACACCCCTTTCTCACACCAGGCCCCATTTTCCAGTAGAACTGCAGTTTGGGTACCAAGCCTTCAATACACGGACACTGGTGGGACATTCAAGATCTAGTATGAAGCAAGAGAGCAAAGTCATCAGGTTGCTACAAAGCAATGCTTCTGCCTATCTATGTATTCTGTTTTGCAGGCATTTAGGTCCCTTTCAGGACAGGCTACATGGTTCTAGGCTGGGCCAGCTCCACTCAGTTCACTTCATGGGTCGCTGGTAGAGGTGACAGCCACTGCCAGGGGACTGGAGGCTGGAGAACAAAACTGAGTAGTGAGCACTTGCTCCCGCTAGGTCCTGGCAATGGGTGGCAAGTGACTGGGGACAGTTGGGCTCTTCTGTCAGGCTAGGGTGATGTTTTGCTTAGGAAACCAAGCACGTGGGTGCTGACCTTGGCTTTTGTCTCTGGAGCAGTATGGTGCATGGTAATTAGAAGGGATGATCAGGATTTGTGCTTTCCCAAGGCTGTGATTAAGCAAAAATAGCCTCTATTCTTTAGCCGGCAGAAAGAAGCTTGGTGAACTGGGTGGGTCACCAGTCCCAGGGCTGGGGCTGGCAGGGTGCTGAGAGCAGGCACTGTAGTAGCTGGCCTGCCTCAAAACCCTAAAACACTGTCACAAAACCAGCTTACCTACCTAGTAGGGACCCAACCTGAACAGGATCATGCAAATAGAGATGAACAGGTGACGGAGAGAAACAGGTGGTTTGATGACCAAGTCCTGGGGCCCCTTGCATGTGGCTTTCCACCACCCAGAATCCTTTGCTAGCCTCTCAGCACCAGAAAACCCGGTGAATCCTCCAGGTGTGGACCATCAGGCAGGTCAGGAGCAGCTAGCTTCCCAGAGCACCTTAGATCCTAGCTCCTCCCAGGACTCACTAAGGGAGTTCTGCCTCACCAAGGAAGAGGGGTTGTTCCCTGAACCTGGAGTCTCTGGGGCCTGAGCAGCTTGGAGAGGCTGTGTAACCGTGAGCCCCTGGGATCATCATTTCTAAGCAGTTTTTACAAAAGTGTCAGACCCTGAAAGCTGATAACTTCTGCCTTTATGAGGCTCCTTGTTTGAAGGAAAATGAAGCAACGTTATAATAGCAGGCCACGCCCCATTCAGCACGTGAGGTAACATCCTGGTCTAGGTAGATCTGAGCAGACTTTCCAGAAGGAGTGGCTACTGAGTAGGGTGTTGCGGAGCACACATGCATTTTCTAGTTTGCAAAGGGAAGAACGGCTCCTCGGCACACAGCTTGATATAAGCAAAGGTGATGAGGAGCAGAAGAGTTCTGCCTTGTGGGAGAATCAAACCCAGTGATCTTGATTATTGTGCGAGGTTCTTAAAAGAACTAGCCTTTGCTGAGTGTGGGGGTACCTGCCTATAATCTCAGTATGTAGAAGGCTGAGGCAGGAGGATTGCCAAGGATTGGAAGCTAGCCTGAGATACATTGTAAGATCTAGTTTTGAAACAGCAGTGACAGCAACAACAGTAACAATAGCAACATTGCAAAGCCTTCTGGGAAGGGTACATACATACATACAGACAGACAGACAGAGCAGTCTTAAGGTCACTCTCCTGCTTGTTCACAGAAGCCTCTGCTAGCCTATGGATAACTCTGGTCCTGGCAGGAAGTGCTCAAGGGACCAGTGTCTGCATCCACCAGGCAAGGTCTCCTGGTCTCTCTGACAAACAGTACAACATCTATACTTCTGTGAATCCAAGGAAGCAAGGTTCTGTTCCCAAACTGCAGAAAGAATGAGATGCTTCCTTTCTGCTGGGGAGTGAGGCAGGGAGAAGCGATGCTGCAGATATCCCTATCCAGTTTCTAGCCCTCAGCTCTCATCCCTACTGATTGGGGAACTGTTTCAGAATCATCTATGGTCAAGATGCCTTGTGCATCCACCAATTCCATGAGTATTGTGTGGTCCCCAGGGAGCTGACACCAGGCAGATGGAGACTGTGGGAGCTCCTAGGTCTGTGTCACCAGTGAAGATGCAGGATTCAGCCCCTACTTAACCGAGGGCATGGTGCCCGGAAGACAGCAGGACCCTCATGTCTTCCCTGCAAGTTATTTATAGCCTCGCAATGGTAATTTGTAGCAATCACAGCATTTAATCCTGTAATCACACTGCAAGCAGGCACCCAGCCCAGTGAGGTCGGTGAGCCTGCCAGGGCTCAGGGAGGGACTTGGCGGTAGGACAGGGAGTGTGGAGGCGGTAATGTCCTTATCAACCTCTACCCCATCTTGTCAACCATGCCCCGCCCCCTGCACCCTGGATAATACGAATAACAATAGCAGCTAACACATTTCACAGGTATCATAGTCTATGCCTTGTTCAAAAGCCATCACCCATAGGAGCTCACTTATCTCCGCTGTCGCTCCACAAGGGAGTTAGCGTATCCCTGTGGCATTCCTGCACTCCAGGTGAGGAAACAGGCTCAGGTCACACAGCTTCTAAGAGTCATGTCTTGAACTCAGGCCGTTTGGTTTCAAAGCCTAGGGTTTTGGAGACCATGGTCTCAGAGGTAGAGATGTCCCTCTACCTCTGTCCCACCCCTACTATTAGCCTTGGCTCTGCAGACACTCTGGGCTCCTCTGTGCGCCTGCTCCAAAGCAGCATACGTGCTCAAGAGGCCACACACACCACAAGACAACTTTTCACTTTGTGTTGGCGTTGGCTTCTTTCCCAGACACTCTTTCCCCGGTGACAAAGTTTAGAAAGAGGACTTGGGCAGCACACCCAGACTCTATTCATCAGATATCCTCTGCTTTTTGCCTCTGCAGAGAGGGACAGCCTGCCGCTTGCCGCTTGGAAGGGCGGGCCACTGGCTGGCTGAGTGCCCTCTTCTGTGGAGGTGGGGCCCTCTAGCGGGAAGTCCTTGGCCTTTTTAATTCTATGGCTGTCCTAAATGACCTGAGTGGGATGTATGTAAACTACACATTTTAAAATTTACTCATCTGTAAAATGGGGCTAAGGACAAGAGTCACCTAAACCGAGAAGGCAGATGAGGCGATGGGTGAGTTGACCCATGTCAGCCCTTAGTAAGGGCTCATTGAAGTGGACTCATTCCTCCTATCTTTATGGCCGTCCTGTCCTGAGTGCAGAATTTAGGCCTCTCCTATTCAGACTCATGGCCAGGTCTTTTGTAGTTAGAAGAAGAACAGGGGACTGGGGGAAGGGCAGCACTGGCCTCCAATCTCAATACCCAGGAGACAGGGGAGAGGAGGATGGTGAGTTTCATGCCAGCCTAGGCTATTTAGGAAGACCTTGTCCCAATAAAAACACAAAACAAAAACAAGAAGTAGGGGTGAGTAAGGCACATGCCACACAAGTGTGAGTGCCTGAGTTTGAATCCCCAGAAGTCACATAGAACTGGACACAGACCCTGCATCTGTAATTCCAGTGTTCTTACTGCAAGATGGGAAATCAAGACAACAGAATTTTCAGAAACTTGCATGTGACCATTTCTCAACAAGGTGAGAGTTGAGGACCAGTGCCTGAGACTGTCTTCTGACCTCCACACACAGACTGTGGCATTTCTGCACACGCACGCACACACGCACACGCACACACACACACACAAACACAGAGAGGGAGAGAGAGAGAGAGAGAGAGAGAGAGAGAGAGAGAGAGAGAGAGAGAGACTTGCTCACGCTATATAAACTGACAAAAACAGACAGGAGAATTAGAAAAAGTGGCAGGCAGGGCCAGGCCTCAGGAACATTTGTGCCAGTCTCTTCCTCATAAGAGCCAACCTGTCCCATCACCCAGAAATAATTTCCATCCCCACAGAAGTAGCTCAGAGCTCACAAAACAGTTGTGTTTAGCCCAGGGTTGTGTCTTAGGAACTGGATAGTTCAGAACTGCTCTTCCCAGCTGAGAACATCTCCTTGTGTAGAATTCTTTGCAGATAGTTCTCACTGGACCAGGCTGGGGAATGGGAAATGTAGTCAGTCCTAGGCTGACTACAAAGTCATGGGAAGGACCTTCACTAACCCTGCAGGGTCCCATGAGAGGGACCTTGGGGAGGATTATCGTCATCTAGAATGGACTTCTGAGAGAGAAGGTGAGTTCCCCATCAAAAGAGGCAAGCAAGAGCTTCAGAGTCCAACTGTGGATTTTGTCCAAGCACAGGCAATAGTATCCATCTCCTGGGAAGGGAGAGGAGGCACAGTGGGCTGGGTGAAGCAAGGACTCTTGGGCAGCAGACATTGTTTACATTGTTTATGTAAGGGGAGGCTGTGGGATATCTAAGATCTCTTTCCATATGAGAGTCTGATTCAGTCTGACCTAATGCAGAACACGGGGCTTAGATCAAGCACTGGCACATTATTTTGGAAAAATCCAGATCAATATCTTATGGTTTGAGGGCTGTGAGTTTGTTGTCGCCACTGAAGTCAGGCCTGTGGTGTGAAGGCAGCCGTGGAGGATACATAGATGGATGAACTGTCTGTGTGCCAAGAAAACTTTATTTACCCAAACAAGTGGCAGATTCTGTCCTTTGCTATAGACCTCTGTATTCGAGCAGTGGGAGCCCAGGAGCCTGAGAAGCTCTTCCCTGGGGAGGTGCTGGCTTAGGCAGCTAGCAGGAGTGAGGAAAGCACTTCTGAGTGACTCCAAAGTGCCTGCTGGATGCCAAGTGTCATTCCCTTCTGAGTGGCCTTCCCTTTCCGAGTGGTCACCTCCCTCTGGACCATAATCCTGTAGTTTAAAGCTTTGCTATCTCACTAAGAACTTTAGCCAGATTTGATTATTTTATTTATATGTGTTGAAAATGGAATCCAGGACCTTGTGCATGTCAGGTAAATGTGCTTTTACACTCCCAGTCCCAAGCAGGTATTTAAAAAAAATACTATTTTTATTTTAAATCAGGCTGAGACTGGAGAGTTGACACAGTGGTTAAGAGCATTTGTTCTTGCAAACAATCTGGGTTCAACTATCAGCACCCACATGGTGACTCATGACCCTTTGTAACTCTAGTTCCAGGGAATCTGATGTCCTATGGTCTTCTCACCTTTGTGGTCAACAGGGACACATGTGTTACACAGATATACATTAAGGCAAAACATTCATAGTCATAAAAAAAAACCCCAAGCATCAGCAACAGAAACAGGCTGGGAAAATGGTGGCGGATAAAGGAACTTACCACTAAACCTGATAGCCTGATTTCAGTCCCTGGGACCCACGTGATCAAAGGAGAGAACTGATTGCTGTGTGCTGTCCTCTGCATGTTTATACAAACAAAATAAATAAATAATATAATAAAAGAAAAATCAGCAACAATCCCTCCAAAAGAAGAAGAACAAAAATAGAATTGGAATTTGTCTAATGAGCCCTGTGCTTGTACAATAATTAAAAACTGAGAAGTCCTGTCTCTGCTCTCCATCCAAAGCCCATGAAATACAGTGATATCATTGCTGTCCAAGCCCAGTGGCCCAAGCTCCAGGCCAGCCAGGGATGTAAGTCCCCATCTCCATCCAGAAGGTGGAGACTCAGAAACACCATGTCCCAAGGCTGACACTGTGCCCCTTCCAACCCTTTTGTTTTGTTCAGACCTCCACAGAAGGGATGGCACCTGCTTACCCCAAGGGCAGAATCTTCTCAACTCAGCTTCTGTGGTTAGAGCACAAACCCTCCTGGAAGCCCCTCACAGGCACACTTGGGAGACACAGGGCGTCTCTCAGCCCGGTCACATTTAGATGACCCGAAACACAGCAGCTCCCCAGCTGTTCTCAAGGGGCATTTGCATCAACTTCCTGGATGCTATGGGTCTCTAGCACAGCTGCCATTACTGATGAAATAAGAAGGGCAGCTCTTTCTTAGGACATCCTGTCTTACTTGTGATGGCTGGCCTCAGCTGGGCTTCTCTTCCCTAGAAGGGCAAGGCCGTTTTGCGTGTATATACTCCTGAGACAGGGTCTGGACTGGGTGACCCTCCCTAGCTGCTACCTGTAACTCCAGCTTCCCAATAAATCAGGGCCTTTGCTACACCTACGGGGCACCAGTGCGGTGGCGCCTGCTGCATTCTTTCTGTCCTCTGCAGGAGAACTGTATCGGGTGTCCCTAAGAAGACAAAGGTTCCCAGCTCAAGGAAGCATTGAGATCCATGAAGACGGCGAGGTGTGCTGGGTTTTGGAGGCATCCGGTCCATCTGTAGCCAGTGTCTTAGGAAGAACCCTGGGAGGATAGACAGGCTCCCTAGTCTCCATCCAGTTCTTTTTTGCTGTATGACCCCTGGGTACCTCCCTGTTCTCTGGGCTTTAGGCTCCTATAGGCACAAGAAGAGTCACTGAAGATTCATCTTGCTGTGTTGTTCATTGAGGGTGTGGCCCTCCTGGTAGCCTCTGGATGCACCAGAGTCCCACAGGAGTCATAGGGTGTCAGTCACAGTCCCCGTGTCTCTGTCTTTGTGCATCCTGGGGTTCTGTTGCCTCCCTGTCTCTATCCCTGCCTTGTCCCTCTCAGGAAGGCTGCTCACAGCGTTCCTGCAAGACGCATGTCCTCCTGCTGGTGCTGCACGGGGGCAACGTCCTAGACACCGGTTCTAGTGACCCTTCCTGCAAGGCGGCCGACATTCACACCTTCAGTTCTGTGCTGGAGAAGGTCACGCGCGCCCACTTCCCTGCTGCCCTGGGCCACATCCTCATCAAATTTGTCCCTTGTCCTGCCATCTGCTCGGAGGCTTTCTCGCTCGTTTCTAAGTGAGTCATTTTGGCTTGTTTGTGTGGTCTGGGTTTGGTGTGGGAGGTGTAAGTGGAGGGGATACCCCGGCCTTGGGAGGCCTGTCTGGTGTCAAATCAGAATTGCGGACAGCATCCTTAGTAGGATATAGTCATTAAGAGTCCTCTGTCAGGGACCTGGGAGTGCCAGCTTCCCCATGCTAGCACATATTCACTTCTGGTGCCTCAGTTTGAATGAAAGAATAAACAGGCCTCAAGAAGTTTATCCATTTTCCCCAGCTATCCAGGAATGGAGCCAGGAGTCACACCAAAGTAGCCTCCCTCCAGAGACCATCCCTATAGGGATAGGTACGGTAATAGAGGTAGCCCGAGATACAACTAATATCTTCCTCAGGGAAGACTTCCCAGAGGAGAGTTGATTTTAATGTCATAGCGTGGCTGAGTGTATGTCCTCTCTGGGGTCTGGACTTGAATCTTGCCTGTGTGACCTTGGGGAATTGTGCCACCTCTTCCTCCCTTAAGTCCCTCATCTGTAAGATGGAGGTGATGCTGATGCTGGTGTGTAGTGGGGACACATGGTAAGTGTCCACATAGAGCCGAGCTGCCCCTGGCTGCCACACTAGCATCCTCTAGGGCCGGGGGCATGTTCAACTTGTTTCCTGTTGGTGGAGAGTGAGATGATAGGGTCCTGTCCTAGCTCACAGCACACAACAACTTGTAGGCGCAGGGAGGGAAAGGACGGTAAGTCAGAAGCACAGGCTGAACACTAGGCTACTTCTTACAAGTGCCGGTACATCCCTCCCGTTGTGGACCCAGGTACCAGTGAGGGGCAGACTCAGAGACCTGGGGCTCTATGGGAACTGGGTCCTGTGGGGGAAATTCCACTCACCATGCTAGGACTTGAGGGCTCCAGTGCTCTAGAGCCCTACGTGTCACTGATGAAGTCACTGAAGGTCGGTACCTGGAGCCGGTTGGAAACTTGCTTTCTTCCAACAGTCTGCAAAATAGTCTTTGTGCACCCATAGAGCCCACATGGCCTAGACACTGAGCAAATTATTGAGACTGAAGCAGGGAGACCAGACTTTCCTAGATGGGGTAAAAAGGGAGCTGTTGGCACCCCTGTCTCACCACCCCTCACATGACCTTGGAAAGCCCCTCCTTCAAGCCCCTCCTTGTGTGTCCCAAGAGAAGGGGAGCTTCAGTCAGATGGGGCTCTGAGCCCAGGGGCTCCAGTGTGGGATGGGCCCAAGAGCCCTGTCTTTCACTTCTAGTAGCTCAGGATCTAGCAGCGGCTGGACCATTCCCCATCCTGCTCACTTCCTGACTGATGCTCAGAGGCTGGTTTTCCTGTGTTCGCAGGATGCCCTCGGGTGGATCTCCATTAGATATACAAGTCAGGAAGCAGGCTAAGTCTATTGCTTCTTAGCTTAGCCAATTGCTCCAATATCTGGGGTGATCCATGTCACTTGCCCCCGTATCTGATGTGACGCATATCACACGTAAGATGTGCAGGCACCCATGGAGCAGCTGAGTGGGTGGGGCCTTGGAATCTGTTTCCTAGACCGGAGCTTGCTGCACTCTTTTGTTGTGGGATTTAGGAGCAGCTGAGTGGGTGGCCAGACTCTGGTCCCTCACACTCACAGAAGTCCCAGAGTTAATCTTGCTGGTCCACAGTCCATCTCAAGACTCACCCCCAGGATGGCTGACCTCATGAGCTGGGTCATCCTTATCTCCAGGAAGATGGATGTCCAGGCCATTTGAGGGGAGAGCAGGAGGGAGCTTACCTCTCCCCCAGGCAGCTCTTGCTAGGACCATTAATCACCAGTAATCACTGCTGGGAGGGAGCTCCTTCTCGGCTAATTAAAATCTCTCCGGCTACAATTGAGGCCTGTTTCCTCTAATTTGCGTTAGTTGGAGATGAGAAATGGTTGGTGGGGCCTGCTTTGCACACTGCTAGGACCCTGCCCCCTGCTGAGGGTGCCTGAGTCCTGTCTTCTGCCCTAGATTCTGCTGGTTCTTAGCCCCATCTGCTCTAGGCTTTGGGCACTCTGAAGCTAGGCATGTGGGGGGTAAGGACAGGCTGTTGGACCTGGGTATGAAGTTCTCAGACTCCTTTTGTGTCTGTTCTAAAAAGCCAAGGCCAACAGATCATCAGGGCTGGATGTGCTGGGGGGCAGAGGCAATCCAGGTAGGGATGGGAAGACGGGTGGGTCTGAGCTGCTCCGAGAGGGAGGGACTTCCTAGTAGGGAGATGGAGGGATGCAGTGGCCTCTGGGAGCGGAGTTCTGTAGGGCAGGCACCCAGCCCTATCTGTGAAACTTGAAGCAGATCTGTCCCTTGAATACAGAATATACTGTCATGCAGGCAGCTAGGAGCCCCTTCACACCAGAGCCATTGTCCCAGCTCCACAGCTGATGTGCCCTCACTGGTTCCTCCTCAGGTTCCCCCAAAGCATCTTTTGAGAGTTTAATTCAGCCCCTTCCTCCTCCAGGAGGTCTACCATGATACTGCTTTCCCACACTGTTCTGTGTTGGCTGATTCTCTAGGTTCTTTCAGAATTGGGGTGCTTTTAGGTTCTTGCCAAACAGCATGGCTATGCCACACAGCAAGACTGCCATGGGCTGGCATATATGGAGTCAGCACAGCCTTGCATCCTCATCCTTTCCCCTCCTTCCCATCCTTGCGCTTTGCCTCATGGGACCTATCCCCATAGGTCCTTAAAACTTTTCTGCAACTGGACCTAGTGCCCAGGTGGCGAGTATGTTCTTCCAAAGAGCCCACAGTCCCACGTCACCCACTTCTTGGTCCTGGCTAGGCTGACTTTGGGTCCCCGTGTCTGCAGCCTGAACCCCTATAGCCACGACGAGGGCTGCCTCAGCACCAGCCAGGACCACGTTCCCCTGGCTGCCCTTCCCCTGCTGGCCATCTCCTCTCCACAGTACCAGAATGCTGTTGCCACTGTCATCGAGCGAGCCAACCACATCTATGGAGAGTTTCTCAAGTCCTCTGATGGGATTGGCTTCAGTGGGCAGGTAAGAGCCTGCTCTCTCCCACTCTGTGTCAGCTGCTACCCGAAAGAGGGGCTGGGGTCTGCTGCAGGATCAAGGCAGGCTAGAATGGTAGCCTCTGAGATCGGAGGAGCCATTTGATGGGTTTGGTATTCTCCTTTTACAGACAGAAAAACTACCCTCATTTGGAGTCCATGATGACCCTTAGCTAGCCTGACTCCTAATCGTGGCCTGACCACTCACCTCAGGCTGACCCCAAAGGAAATCTATTGTCAGGATGAGCCTACCTTCCATTTGGGCTCTAAGCAACTCCTTAGGACAAGTTCCTTATTCTCTCATGGGAACGTACCCCTGTTCTGACTGGATGCGGGGTGAGAGGGTTGTGGCAGGCAAGCCTGCAGCCCAACTGTGCCTCTGCAGGTGTGTCTCATCGGGGACTGTGTGGGCGGCCTCCTGGCTTTCGATGCCATCTGCTACAGTGCGGGGCCCTCAGGGGACAGTCCTGGCAGCAGCAGCCGGAAGGGAAGCATCAGCAGTACCCAGGTGTGGTCAGGCTGGGGGATGGGAGAGGGCGTGTCCCTGGGTGTCTCTCATAGGAGCAGAGGAGCAGGTGGCTCCCCCAGGGAATGCAGTGCTGGGTTTTCATGTTGGTATTGTGGTGTCTATAATACAAAGGGTTGTATGGAAATAGCAAGAGCATGTTTAGCACAGACCAATAGACAGGCCCGGAGGCGGTCTGCTACTATTTGTCTCTCTAGGTGGTCACAGGAGATGGTCTGTGCTTACACCCCCACCCCTCATCACCATGAGCTGTTTGGAAGCATGGTTTCCACATGGGAAGAAGGGGTTCATTTATGCCCAGGGGAGGAGGCAGGGCCCCAGGGCCCCTTTGATCGTTACGCTTTCTGCTGAAGGACACCCCTGTGGTGGAGGAAGACTGTGATCTGGCCAGCAGTAAGCGTCTCAGCAAGAGTAACATCGATGTATCCAGTGGAGTGGAGGATGAGGAGCCCAAAAGGCCATTGCCACGGAAAC